ATAAGAACTTTACACCTAGATGGATTGTGACTGTCATTAGAGATCTGGGGTGTGATTCTGTAAGACTTCATTCTAAACTTCGAATCTGAATCCGCGGTGAGTTTCTTGATTGGCATTCTAAAACTCGATTCCTAACTCGAATCTATGCTAGCGCTACACTTGCGAGTGTGTTTACGAGTTGAACTAAATTGACCGCAACATTTTGACAGATAAAGTATGAGATAACGTTGAAAATCGTATTCTATAATGTAATTGCCCCGTCCCTTCGACGCTCACTTCGAACTAGAACAAGATTCAAAATGTCAAATTAAAAGTATCTATTTTACGAGTGAAAATGGAAGAAATAATAGTTAGATAGTGTTCAAATTAAGTTTTGAAAGTAACAATGTGAATAAGTGCTTACCTATTAAAACGATAACGATGGCAAGAATGTTTTTGGTAAAATCTTTGTTAGAAGAAGCTCATGCTTTAGATAAACAAGAAATGCGACGACAATCTAGCACCATTCGAAGTTTGTCTTTATTAACCTGAGATGACGACTATGTGAGCGTGTATGTGCAATGGAGCTGATTGACCAACTGGAGGATGAGGCCTTTGATAAAACCCACAAAACGGCGAGGCAAAGGACTTTGGTATGGTATAGTTCATAACATGTATTACCTGGTTAGTTATGTCCCTACTTCAGAATATATAAGTCTAATTACTAGGTTTTATTTATATGTGATTGGTCGGAAACGGATTACCTGATAGAAAGGATTCAGCGCCGCCAATGGATACCCGCAACAACAGAGGGATTACGAGTGCGTTGCCGACCTTTTGGGGATTATGGATTTGGAGATTTTGACACACATTCACACGGCGAAACACAACGCTATGGTTGTTTCACGCCAGTTTTCTGTGAAGCCGTGGTATCACTCCGGTCGAGCCGACCCATTCGTGCCGAAACATGGCCTTCGCACACTTAAAATAGTATAAGTACTAGATAGTCATTCGATTTTTTTCAGGTGATTCAGGATATGCTCAACGTGCCTACTTTATGACACAATTAGTGGTGCTGAAGCCAATTCCCCAGAAGCATTTTAAAATAACATCCATGCATATTACTGCTCGCAATTTTGAAGAGAGGACAATTAGAGACGAAATTATGTACAATTGCTGAAGTTCAAAGGAAGCAAACTAGGAATTTGCCATCTAATACAGGTTTAAATCTAGGACGTAGGCAAAATATAGTGCCTCAAAGAGCCAATAGACCACCACAGACGGAGCCCTACAGGGCTGATGTTCAGCCACGGTGGTGGGGCAAGCGCAATGAGGTGCCACGGTCACGGCCTAAAGCAGGAGAAGGAACGGGGGGGTTTTAGTCAGTAAGAGTCTGACACTATCTCGCCTTACCCTGGGCGGGAGAAGTGATATGATGATTTTCCCCTGACAAAAAAATATGATTATGATTTTATTTAATTTTATTTTGATTTTAATTCAATTAGGGTCTTGTATGATTTTATTTTTTCCACATTTTTTTATGCGAGTGATTTCATTGTTTTATTACATTTTTTTCTTTTAATTTAGCCTTACGAGCCTAATTGTTAGACCCTAGTTAATTTATTGTATCCCATAATTGTTTGAATATACAATTGAGTTAAAATCAAATAAATAAATAGTGATATGTGAGGATGGGTCTTTAACTAATAAAACTGCTAGTACTCGTTAAAATTGTTTAATTTAAATATAAAAAAAAATTTGGTTGAAACGTCTTAAACACTAAAACACAACTTCGTTGTTACACCCTATCTCGATGCATGGCCTCTGCCAATGCTCACAATCCATTCCAGATTGAAACTACAGATCCAGCTAAAATTTAATCATTCCCTAGACTTCTCTTCAGAAATGCTTGCAAGATCTGCGCATTTGATATTTGTAAATTCTTCCAATTGATTTGAAATCGTCTACTCTTCCACCTTCAGGAATCTCTCTGTGATGTTGGAGAATTCCGTTCGCCGTTTTGATGTTGGAGGAGCAGCAACTGAAGATGTGTGACGTGATACTGAAAAGAGAACACCGATTAATATGTGCATTGATAAAAACTCTTTAACAAATTGCAGCTTTTCGCTGTCGTTTGTTCCAAAAATTAAGTTCTTTCTTCAACCTCTGATAGCTCAACTTCATCTTCCACCACACCAGTCCTGTCCTGCGCCTAGCTGCTAAGCTTCTTATGGCGCTTTTTTCTCAGACCAATACTACAAGCAGACATTTATATTAATAAAGAAGTTATTAAAAAAAGCCTTACTTTTTATTATTATTAATAGTCAATGTAAAATTAAAATAAGTTATATAACCAAGGAGCACGCCAAGATTCATCGTTATTTTAAGTGGCTTGCATTAAGGAATATTAAATGGTTTTAACATGCCAAAGTAAGCACTACTTACTTCACCTTGGTCCTCTGTTTATAAGTTTTGAAAGTGCCATCTATACCATACAGGCACAGGCACACGGCTAGTTTCTTCCACTAGCGCCGATTTCGATCTCTGGCACCTTGAGTTCTCAAGAAACCCTTCGCCAGCCAGGTAAAACCTGTGATGACGACGGGTGTGAGGAACGTATCTCATTTGTACTGAAACATTATGGTTTGATTAGAAAACAAAATAAACACTCTATAATAAATATTATTTTTGAACTTTACAACCAGTAATAAAACTTACTTCATGTTTATGATCTCTCTTTTTATCGGCAAACACGGAACAGAAAAAATATACGAATAAACCAAACGTGGACAAAATAATACAAAGCAAATGACAAAGAGTTTGTCAACAATGAATGAAGACATTATCTGTCAGTTTCTTTTTGGTAAACGAAGCACAGATTATATTCATCGCCTGAATTTACAGTTTTCTGTTTATTTTGTAATAATTAGCTGCCTAAAATTCCTTAAAATAAGAAATTTCAATTTATACGTCATAATATCTAAAATTCTGTGTCAAAAACTTGTTAAAATAAAAACCGATAAATCTCGACTTACATTTTGTGTAGTGTGGTACTACACTAGTACAGTATTGGCCGATTCGGAGCTCACTCCACTTCGCAAGTGCCTAGGTGATGCTTACAGAATGCAAAATCAACGCCATTTTGAACCTTATGCGAAGTGAGAGAGAATGTCGACTTGACATGCGAGTTCGTGTTAGAATTTTATAGAATCGACGTGCTGATGATGAAGACGAAGGACAGTCTAGGGAACTCCTCAACGATTTACAGAAGCGACCTCGTGTTTGGACTTAATTTATTTATATTGATAAGAACTTTCCCTCTCCTAGAGAGGTGGCCTGTGACCCATTAGTGGGAACATTAAAAAGGCTGATGATGATGATGATGATGAGAACTTTCCCATTTCTTGGGATCTATATTTTTAATAGAGCGGCTCCTTTCGCAGTCCTACACATAGCTACTTAAAAAATATATACTGTTCAATATGTTAATTTATATTTAAAATGTTACTGTTGTTTACAGAAGAACTTGTAACAGACACTTAAAAGTAAAAAATAAAAAAAACTACGTTTAAAAAAACCGACTTCAAAATCAAAAAAGTGTCAAATAATTAAAATAGATATTTTAATACCACTCTTACGTACGCGAAGCTAATACTTTTAATATTAATAATAAAACACTATCAATTATATGTGCTACCTATTCATAGGTTTGAAGTCGGTGCCAAGCCCTTAACAGAATAAAACTAAATGAGAATTAAGCCTGTTTAATTGCTAAAGGACGAAATTTCCACAACCAACAACGAAGCTACCTTTATACTTTTAACAACCCACGAGTTACGTTTAGTACGAGAAAACTTTCAGAATTCATAGTTCACCCGAATATCTTTCTAAGCTATATATAATTTCGCATGTAACGAAACCATATAGACTTCTGATTCTACGCTAAGGCCATCAATCAAATGCTTATTATATTATGTATTAGGCTTGGCACCGATTTTAAACCTATGAATAGGTAGCACATATAATTGATAGTGTTTTATTATTAATATTAAAAGTATTAGCTTCGCTTACGTAAGAGTGGTATTAAAATATCTATTTTAATTATTTGACACTTTTTTGTTTTTGAAGTCGGTTTTTTTATAGATAATAAATAAAACAATTTTCTAGAACTTATTTTTTTAATCAAGAATTTGTTCAAGAATCAATATTGTAAATTGTTACTTACATATTTTTTTACCATTGATGTTGTAGTGTATAGCCGGTATAAATAATATACCTACACTCATACAAGTATTCAATTGAGTTCCTTCCACAATAAATACACATACACTTACAGTATAACGGTGCCACACATAGTAACATTGCTACTCACGTATGGGGCCGATGCCGTGTTGTTTGTTTGTCACACATGACTTTGCTGTTTTTCGTGGTTCATTATGAAAGATATATACTTGGATACATATGCATATGTAGATATAATTCTTTTATATACAATGTTACTTGTGTCTGATGTAAGGAAGGGGAAATAATTAATTAAATGATTGTAGGTATATTTAAGGAAATGTAGTGCCTGAGAATTTATTTAGTACTAGCGACCCGCCCCGGCTTTGCGCGGGTGTAATGCTGATACTAAATTTTTCCACGTTTTAATGGATGTTATCATAAATATAAAACTTCCTCTTCAATCACTCTATCTAATAAAAAAAACCAGACCATAATGAGTTGTAGTTTTACAGATTTATGCATACATAGGGATATAGGGACAGAAAAAGCGACCTTGTTTTATATTATGTTGTGATTATTCTGGACATCATGATCTATCTGAATTTCAAATCTTCTCCATATTTATTTATTTGTTTAGGAGTTAAGGGTTATAAACACAGGTCATAAAGTAAGTAGTAGAGACTCAACCATAATTATTGGATTGCAATAACTTTTTCTAAAAAAAACCGTATCGAGGTAAGGTATTTTGTTAAAAAGGATATAAATAAATTAAAAAACATTTGTTCCATATTTTATTTATTGAAGATGTAGGTACGATATAACTTACAGAAGGGAGATTTAGAAGATATTTACAAGGTGTTAAGGTAACATTTAAAATTTAGATAATACTTTTAAAATGTCAGTGATGAAACCTTTAAACAAAATTAAGGAAAAATAATACTGATGAAATAATTCCAAGCGGAGAAGAAAATGCAAAAATACAGACTTGTAATAATAGTAACAATATGTAGTTTAGTAAATAATAGAATTTTAGATATTTCGTATTGTTTTCCTAAATAATATTTATTAATAACTATAAAAATTATTGCCCTAATCAAACTTCAACTACACCTTATGAACGTGCACGACATTTAACAGTGATTAAATTTATCTAACAACTAATGGATTACCTAAACAAATAAAGATTCTTATTTATTTTAGTTAAAAGATTAACTTAATATAGATCTTATGTTAAACTTAACTAGGTATATTATTGAATTCATTTTTGATATGTTTGATATTCTTGTTTTATTCTAGTCGTTGAAATTCTTCAAGTACAGTTGACAACATAATTTAATTTGTAATTGGATTAAAATTTTATGTACAAAGCTTTCTATTATATTTAGTTGTGAAAAATGTGAACACTGTTTTCGTTTTTAATTGAAATAATATTGTACTTTTTTGTAAAATATTTTTAGTACTTATTTTTTGTGAAGACTGTACTTGAATTAACTTCAACGCATCGACATAAAATACGCATAAAATACGCAGCGAGTGCATTATTAAATTCCTTTGTAAATACATTAATTTTAATAGTTTATTGAAATATTATTATTATTACGAATAATCTCGTAAATGCGCCAATAAAAGGGACAATAAAAACATATAAATATTCGTTGATTCTGGATTTTGGAAGCAAATATTCTACTTAAAAATAATTTCACCCTTACACCGATTGCCTCTATCCGATTCAACGTTGCGGGTAGTTGTTCCGCCTTCTAAAGTTCAAGTAAACCTTCTTGTAAAATGTGAAACACACGTTTTAACCTAAATATATTTATATTGATTTGTGAACTTATTTTTAAATTAAGAATTCGTTATTTGTTCTAGGGTCAAAATTGAATATTGTTAGAAGTCTTTTTTGTTTATTAAATTTAAATTGGAAATTAATGATATTTATTCTATTAGTATTTAAGAAGTAGTAACACACAGAAATAGGCACATAATGATTGTTATGTTTTTAGGATTGTAATGTATTTATTGCAGGAAAGTTTTTATGAAATGCATTAATTAAAATGAGTCTAGTGAATACGTCTATTTCATGATAACAATAGCTATGATTGTGATTCAAATCGAACTGTGTTGGTATTGTTTGTTTATACGATCTTTATCACGCGTATTCTCATTTGAAGTAATATATCCCTATGAACAAACCAGCATTTACGTTTTATCGAAGTAGTTTATCGACAGTTGGTTAATTAAACTGTGTTCTATTGAAATTTGTGATTTATTGTTTTCAACTTTGTTTTTAATTGCAACTATAAATGCGCTTTCACACGGCAAATTATTTTAAATGTCTTGAAATAGGTATGTGACTAATGAAAAAATAAGACATTTGTATGTCTGTTGTGCGTCTTGCTACGCTATGCTCCGTAGCAAGCAAGCTACGCCGTAGCATCGTGCTACGCGAACGGCTACCAAGTAAATATTCTACATCAGAATGTTAAAGGTTTTATATTGTATATTTATCAGCGTGATGCTCAAACAGGTTTGGCTATTTTACATAAAACTACAATAAAACTTCACAAATATCATATAATTTGTTTGATTTTCGTGCAAACGAAACAAAGTTTCACGTTTCCTCATAATTAGGGGTAGGTTATATTTAAATTACCCCTAATTATAAACTTAACGGTACACATAATTTATTTCTCTTATGTTTTATGGTCATAGGTAGCTTTCGTTAGTTACTTAAACAAATCGTGTGTTTCACATATAACGAGAAACTCGAAGCCTCAAAAAGCTGTGTTCAGGGCTCACCGTCTCACGTATTACCTATGGACATTTTATGCTAAATAGGTATTACTTAGACTTATTCAACTAACTCTTCAGTCTTGGACGTTACACTTAAATAGAATACTTCTAAAACCCGCGTCGAATTTATATCTCTCCAAAACTTGTAAATTAAAAAGATACTGCGTGGAAACCCGTCCATGGCGCTACATAAAAACACACCAAAGACAAAGTTCATTGACCTCACTACAAGCTAAATACATAGAAATGTGGATTATTCCAGAATTTTCTTGTATAAGTATAACTTTTATATCTTCGACTACGATTTAATTTTTCATTTGCTGAAGTTTATTGAATATAAGTAGTATTAAGTATCTAAGATTTGGAAAAGTCACATTCACTAATAAATAAAACACATATAGGACAACGCACGACCAGAAATTACGACACCTAAAATATTAAGCGGAAATGTACAACATTCATTCAATTTGAACGTAATATTTTTACACAGTACAGTTACATAGTTCATTACTTATAGGTATCTATATAAAATTCATTATTTCTAACAAATGAAATTATCACAAACATTTAAAAAATTCACATCCTGTATAATGAACGCTGTATAATTAATACAATACTTAATTATATATAAAAATATATTGCTCAGGATTTCAGTGGGTCGGTCTATCAAATCAGTGCTTTAAAATTGCCTGTGGAAAATCTAATTTTAATTTGTTTACAAAATTATGATGTGAAACTTAATAAATACAATAATAAGTATATAACCATTACATCATGTTGTTCCCATACTTTAGACGTCACTTTCATTCAAACTTACATTAGATAACAGTCAACCGAAAAAACAAGAAAAACCATTGACTAGTATCGTTATAAAATTTAAAATGTTTAATAAGAAAATGTTACTAGATATAAATAAAATTTCTCTTCGGGTTTCTTATTCTATATTATACTAGATGTATACATAAACGATTTTAAAAAAATTACACGCTAGTGATATGTATCAGTGACACATGATATGTATGTTGATCACAACAGTAATTGTGGGCCACAGTGATAGCTGATGGCCCATGTTCTTAATTCTCTAATCTTCTGGCCAGCCAAGATCTTCACCGATGAGGTCGTAAAACCTCTGATTATGTTGAATGAAGAACTTTCTTAATTTGGTGACAACTGCGGGGTCGACTCGAGGATGTTTCCGTCCCTTTGTTTCCCGCAGACATTTGTCTGTGGTATCATTTCGAAGGCAGTAGAAGCCTTTTGTTTCGTTGAAGTAAAAATTCTTTCTTCCTGTTTGGACAAGGGATGGGTGTTCAGAAAACGAGTAAACAATAATTACGACAATAGTAAAAGTAATTTCTAAGTTCTTAAAATATAAACTTACCAATCTTATGTTCCAGTCCAAGGAATTTCTCGATGCGTCGAAGCTGTGGCACCGGATCTTCAATTAGCAGATCGCCGTTAACTACCAGTATCTGTTCTCGAGGGAAAACTTCCAGCCATCGATGCAGGTATGCGTGGTACAGGGATATTGCTATTGGCCTGTTAGGGACAAATTGACAATGTCATAATTTAGCAGCCCTATACAAATACTCTTCGAAACTGTTATGTATGTGTTTAATTATAAGATTTAAAATCATGTACATATAGTAGCACAGTTATTTGGTATGATAATAACGATTAATTAAGAAGACAGACGGCTACTTTTGCTTAAAAATTAAGGCATCCTGCTATTCATAATAAAAACTACTACCGTTTCTGTACTAAGTTAATCTTTATTACCTGAACATATGATATATCATTTAAAAATAGCATAATAAAATATACTTAAGTCATTATATGTAGTTTTGTCTCACCTGTAAGCTATATTGATTGAACCATCAGGTGATATAGCAAGATGTTCGAAAGGCTTGGCGGCGTCGGGTACAGGATGGGCTGCTATCTGGGGGTGCGCAGGTACAGATGGCGTAGCGCGGCTGCGCAGTTGTGTGTAGTCGGATATCGCGCGTGTCACTGGCTCCCGGACTATTAGCAGCAATCGCACTGAGGAGTTCATTGCTCGAACTCTTTCTGGTACCTTTAGATAGAAATGGAATTATCTGAATTATTTTACTTACTACTAATAAATGCGAAAGTTACGATGTTCGGATGTTTGTTACTCAATCAAGACAAAACGGCGGGATGGATCTGGATGAAATTTGGTACGGGCATAAGATACACTCCAGATATAGGTTACTTTTTATCAACATACCAAGCGGGCGAAGCCGCGGGCAAAAGCTAGTCAAATAATAAAAATGTGTTATTAAGCGTATATCTCAGTCTGTTCTAGTTCAGGCACCTCATATTCTGTTTTTGTTATAGGTATAAGCAAAATTGTAGTTTAGATTGTTATTCTTATAATAAAACAATATTATGACTCAAAAATTGATGAATAAAGTTTGCGAATTATTTGTGTTTATTATCAGGGAGCAGAAGATTACTTGAGAAAAAGAAAATGAAAAAAAAAAGAGAGAGAGAGAGAGTTAGTGACCCTTTCATCGTTAGGGAAGTAGTTCAACAACCTGATGCAGGGGCACTCCGCAAGTTTAGTACAAAAATTAATTGATTTTAAGCACTGCTGTTGACAGTGCGGCTATGTACCTAAGATATTTTCTGAGAATTAAACGTAAACACTTTGATCTGTGATATTAGTTATATAGTAATAATTCTATTCTGATATTGAAAGTATAAAAAAATAAAGATTGACAATTAAAATTAACCAAGTCGAAGTAATACTGGGACTAAAATGACATTCACGGGAAAATAATTCCTTACCTCAGGTGTAACGAAGTAGCTCGGACTCTTTTCTATAGTGATCTGCCCTTTGAAGGACAGCGGCATTTTACTTCGGTACCACTCTAGTCCTAACGCGTAGTTCTCATCTCTATCGAAGAAGTGCACTTCTCCGGACGCCTTCTGCACCATCGGATGTAGGTACAGCATCTCCAGCAATGCTCGGGTCCCGCATTTTCTAACACCTATTATAAGAGCCTAAAACAAGGTTTTACCATGACTACAACCTACGACTTTATAACTTAGCAATTAAGTTTAAAATTAAATGTTGCAAGTTGGGGTATTAGAATACGCCATTTTTTCTTTTCAGCTACCTAAGTATTATGATTATCCACTTTATTTCTTTGCAATAAAGTAAAAAATTGTTTGTAGTCGAACAATTCAGACAGCTACATATGTGTGTAACTTTTCTCTCTTTATGAGTATAAGATTTTATGTAATAGAAAATACATACATAATTAATGTTTCATAATGTAGTTACTTAGTAATTCACAAGCTCCTTAACCAAAGTAAGTAAGTTAAATATATCGTATTCTACACAATTATAAATGACTGTTAAAAGCATATTTTAAATATTTCAAAGGAATCTTAAGACTATGAATATGTAATTAGATATTTAAATTCTTTTACATAATGTATTATTTTTACAAGAGAAGACATAAAATTACAGACTTGAGAAGAATTTATAGTCTATTTTTAAGTCAGTAAGTATTAGAATCGGTTGTAAGTCGGTTAAGACTTGTTATCGAGACAGGTTTCCCATGAGGAGAGAATTCCTTATTCTTATGGGGAACACGTAATTCAAGTGCCCTCTTGGTTACAATGTAATAAATAAAAAATGTACATCTTTTTTTAAGAAGCGTTGCCAAGCACAAGGAACTTCTTATGTGTGCGTTTTAAACATACAATTTTACTTTAACGTCACACCCAGACCTGGAACAGCAATATATGTATGACGCAAAGACTTGTTTCATACGGGCATCGAGCCTGCGATACACTGCGCAGCAAACTATTGTACAGCGACGACGCTAACCGTTTAGTCAAAAAGTAAGATATAATTTCACCACCAAGAGGTTGGTTTTCTTTAGCTCTTATTACCTGAGGGAGTCTACGTGCAGGTCTGGGCTGCCGTGGAGGTCTTAACCGCTTTCGCAAGGCCATGGGATGGTTGATAGTTCTTGTGTTGCTCTCTTGGGTTTGAAGAATTTTGCGGCTCTCGCTCGCGGCCGACGCCATACTCGCCGCCTGTACAAATATTCATTTCATTAATTAAAAATATGCATATATTTTTCCAATATAACAAAGCCATCGTCAGATTTGTTTTAAAATTGATTGTTAAATGTGAAAAGTGTAAATGCACAATATAGCTACATAAAGGTGCTTTATAATAATTTCTATTAAGGATTCAAAATGTTATCGATTAAGTGAATGTGTCCCAAAATGTAGCCACCTTCTTCACACATCATATGATATACATATAATTCTTGTTAACAGTTAATAACTTTCAACTTGAAAAATAACTCAAAGCTATATATGTGTCTTTCTTAAAACACGGATTTGTTTTGAGAATGATACCGAATACGACATATTTATTTAGTATCAAAATGATACTTTATGCTTAAAATCTAATTCATTCATTACCAGCTTGAACCACTGAAGTTTGCTTAGAAATCAAGAAACACGTATTTAACTACCCATTATATGCCTATTATGTGGTGATAAATTACCCCGTCGCATATCGTGTGTAATCTCAAAAATATATGGCTTCGGAAATTATCAAGATTCTAGTTGCCGCGTTCCAGAATATCGCTGGGGTAAAGACTAAAGGTCAACGAACTTCGCATTACCCTTTACTACCCATATATTTTACTGAATATCTATGTATGCAAATCGTTTTTCTGATAGAAAGTGTTTGACGATTTTGGTAAATGCGATCTCTTTTATCTATTTTTAGATTGTAAATGGAACTAAATTTGTTTTTGGAATGCAATGATTTAAAAATAGCTACTCTCACGCATTTTCACCCGCTCGGCTCCATTTGATGATAGTGTCACGTTTTAAAGCCTATAAGCACTTAAGAAAATTGTAGATATCTATCAGTGAAAGAATTTTGGCAATCCGACCAGCAGTTCTAAAGATTACACCCTACATAAAAACTTACGAACTTTCAAATTTTACCTCTTTGTAATATTAGTATAAATATCTATATACCTATGTATTAGTAAAGATGTTGTTGATTAAAATATATTAGGATGAAAAAGTTAACAATATATAAAAATGGATGACAAAAACTTTCCTACTTCACATTCTTAGTCTGTCCTACTTATCTCTATTATTTATTTTAACTATCACAATTTGGATTGTAACTAACTATTTTCGCTTAATAATGTTAAGAATATTATGCTTAGAAAGTAATTATAAGAGTCTCTTTATCATAATTAGAGTTTTACCGTTACAGTACCTACATATTATAATCACAGTAAGAGATATAAATTAACATTATTAAATAAACTGCTGAACTAATCTTTCTCATATGAATTGAGTTACGTAATAAATTATTATTAATGCGAAAGCTTAAATAATGATTTTAATTAATGCTTCTCAAGATAAACTTGAGATAACTTTAATGTTATATAATCATTTTCTCGAATCTGAGAATGGAACGTTAGAATTTCATTTTTGTTGAATCGATTTGATCTTGCTAAGACTAAGAAGTTTGTTAAAATGCTTTTAACAACAAAAATTGTCTAACATTTAAATGATTAAAAAAAAAATTGTTGAGAAGACGATGAAGTGTGTTTTAACATTCAGACAAATATGTTATGTAGTCTAAAATAAAACCCTAGTTAACTTGTCCAATTCGAACGTCATGCGTTCAAAACCTGGCAAGTACAAATGTATACCAGACTATTCTGAGTTACATATTTCAAAGATAATTATGACAACACTAACATACGGTGAAGGAAAAAAATATAGTTATGAAACCTGGACTTATAATTTATAATCATTAATTTAAAATCGCTAAGCCACCCTGATCAATCGTGATGATTGCTCAGCAACGTTGCTTTTATTAAAACAATGGCTGGTAATGATTATTATAAGGATGTAAAAGTCAATTCTCAAGAAAAGTCTACAACAAATGTTAATATCAAATAATTACTCTCATCATTACCAAAAAGTATTCTATCGCTAAAATCTACTCTATGTTTAATAAAAAAAGAATAAATTATTTGAATGAACCGTCACTGTCAAAAGGTTGTTAACCTAGCTTGACATATTTGAATGCAAAACGTAGTGCTAAACGGTGACGTAACAAGCTCGTGCTATATTGGACGTTTGAACGGGTTAATTCAATTAAACGCGAGTATGATATACATCTTACATTCTACATATGGCTGTAGTCATTTATTTTATAAGTGAGTTTTGTTCAAAGTAATATAAATAGAAAGAAAAAGAAATATATCAATCGTCGGCAAACTACCACACGGATTACACGATGGTAAGGAATCTGCGCCGCCCATGGACACTCATTATACCAAAAGACCGGTGCCGGACTTAAGGATTGACCCTTCGTTTACCTCACTCATACGGCAAAAAACAACGTAAGTTTTGCTTCACGCCAATTTTTGCGAGGCCGTGGTGTCACTCCGATCGAGCCGGCCCATTTGTCATTGGCCATTGACTACTACTGCTACGACTACGACTGAATAATAGATATAGTAAGGAAGTATCTAGGAATAGACCATTAATTGAAAAACAAAATAAAAGAGATCATGGCTATTCTTATTGGAAAATGCAGACTTAATTTTCCTTTCATGCCATTATCTACTCTTACATATTTAATAGCACATCTATTAACAAATAACGGTAAATAAACCTCCATAGTCTCAATTTCTCTAGAGGGAATAAAAAAAATACTCACGTTCATAAAATAAATTGTTTAGAAAAAATTAGATATTTTTTAAACAAATTCCGAGTGAGTTATTATTCATGCAGGCCTCTGTATTAACCCTGCAGCGTACTCGTATTCACCACAGTTACTTTTTCCTTAAAATTTTATGTGACAAAATTTTTACATTTTCCGGCATAACATCGAAGCCCAGCTCAGAGCGGTTGTGCCCGTATATTTATATACATAGGTACCTATATATCTATAGGATGTACTTTCGGCTCGTAACTTCCACCTACTTGTTGATGTCGTAAAACCCGGTTACATTGTAAAACAAGGGTGTCATAAAAAGGGCGTTGTTATGTTATCTGTGGAGAACGGCTCAGAACATTAATTATGATTACAAGTTGAACAAAATAGGACGATACAGAAAACCTACTGTATATATATGCCTACAGGAATTTATAATGGCGATTTGTTACAGACTTCAAAATTACAACAACATCAATGATATTTATTTTCATGTTGAAAATATGTTAACATATGTTTCATGGCTGATAAAATCATGTCATTAAAAATACCAATAATTAAAATATAACAAGCGTAAATAAAATTGATACAATACTGTGTTACTAACGTGTCAACAATGTTTTATTCACCGGACACTGACACGGAACTTTCTAAATAAATCCAAAAAGAGTCTGCTACAAACAGAGGTCTTGTTTCCATTTTCTCTCAGCGTATGCAACGTGCCTTCTGTTTAATGTTTTTATGGGGTCAGGCAGTGATGCCCATGGGCTTGGCAACCACGCCTCGAGGCTCGGCAAAGCACGCACAGCGGAAGTCAGGGCGGCTTGAGGAAAATAAGCCGCTTACCCGAAAGGGTTGGAAGCTTACTACATTCGATACGCTAAGCATGTTCTATGTGCGATTTATAGTACGACGTTACGGGCTTAAAGTACGAAGGGGCGTATTGTTCCGACGTCGTATCGGGTATGAATATATTACAGTTCTTGTTCATGTTGTTTCTATAGGAAAGTCGATTCGAAAATACAAAGCAGCTAGAGAAACTATATAGCGTTTTACGTTTCATTGAAACGTTCCTAGTTAAGTAATAAAATGAGATTTTAATAGCTTATTTAGTATGTATAAAAGTTTTTGTAACCTAACCAAACAAAAGAGCGGTTGGAAAAAGTACGTACATATGTATATCGTGCAAAAGAGCAATTTATATGTTTATGGTCACTGCAGTATACTGGTGTCAAGGCCAACGAAACGTGTTAGCCCGTGAAACGTGAACACGTTGAGATAATATATTTTATTATGTCCTCCGTCATACATTTATTTAACTTTAATGAGCATTGAGTGGAAAGTTGTTTCTGAATAGTCGGTGTTATGGAGTTAGGCATCACTACATAGGATAAAATAATGTCGCTTTCTCTATCTCTATGTCCCTTTATATGCGAAAATCTTTAAAACTACGTAACAGGTTTTGATGCGGTTTATTAAAACAGATACAGTGATCGAGAGGAAAATTTAAGTACCTTTGTATAATAACATTAATAGTGGAGAAATTTAGTATCAGTATTGCACCCGTGCAAAGCCGAGGCGGGTTACTAGTATAATATATTATGTGTGTAATATGATACAATGACTAGTGCTGTCATCATTTCATGATGCGGTCGGCATATGTCAATTACAGTGGACTTCATTCACCATAGTATGTATATTGTGGTTACATTTAATAAATTGGTTGCTTAAAACTTCAAAATGATATTGCTGATATTGGTCTCAAATTTACGCCACAAAAATACCGAATTCATGAACACATTTTTTGTTGACGAGGAATAAATAAAATAACTATTATCATCGTCATTACTATCTACCACATTTGCCCGTTCCTGAAGAAAAGCCACTTCTCTTATGGATAAAGTTATTGTTTTCATTTATTTTGGCCCTAACGTTACGATTACTTAATGTGGATTGGTGATTTCATATATATGATTTGAAATTATTGCTACAGCGTGGGTCATGGTGTTTACCTTTACTATAATATGTCAATGGGGTCTAAATAAACACAAGACCTTAACCTCCAGGCGACATTTAACTACGCCTACTAATTCACTTCATTTAAGGACAATAGGGTAGTTTCCAATTAGTAAAAACGATACTATTATTTAAAATTTAAAATCATAACATAATATTTAGGCATAAAAATATGGGAATTATTTCCCTAGCATTATCTAAAAAATTAATATAAAGAATATCACAAGTAAAATGAATGAATGAGGGTATAATATTTTTTTTGTGTTTTAATTGTACATCCTACTGATATTGTAAATCTGAAAGTTTGTTAGAATGTTGGATGTATATTCGTCATTGTTTTACGCCAAAACAGCTGAATCGATTTGGTTGAAATTTGGAATACAAATACGATCTTCTGTATTAATGCATAGGCTTTGTTTATTAACGTACCGCGCGCGGGCAGAATCTAGTAGTGTTCTAAGTTGAAATTATTTATTTTTTACTGAAAAAACTCACCTATTAAACCTTGACGTTCCAAAGAGTACGGAATACAAAAAAGGTTTGATAACCATACCTGTATGCTGTACAAGGCGCTGTCATACAAGACATGGAAGGTGAGGAACAGTGAGAGCAGCGTGACGGAGAGCAGCGCGGCCGCAAGCTTGGGCCGCGACACGCCCACCACCAGCACACAATCTGCCAGCTCGCCCTCCGCCGGCCGGAACGACGACCGCGGCAACCATCTGTTCCAAAAAACACTAATATTAGATACTTAATAATAAAACAATGAAACAATGAATTTATTTTTGCAAATAGGCTATAAAACGGCACTTCAACACGTCAAATTATAGTAGTCTACATATAGATATACATATTTATTTATTGATTAATAGTAGTCTATATAGATATTTAGCGTCTGTTCCGCTACTTTCATACTTTAATTCAAATTTATCTGGTACATAATAATATCTAGTTGTTATTCAGACATATTTTTTTTTGTAAGCGGAATATCATCAAAATGAATTTTCCCGCCCAGGGTCGGGCGAGAGGGAATGCAAGACACGTACTGGCTAAAAACTCCCCGTTTCTTCTCCTGTTCTGGGCCCAGGCCGCGGTGACTCATTGCGCTTATCCCGCAACCCCAGCTGTTATTCAGACACTGGAAAACGTGACCTTAGCATCCTTTTTTGAAAGGGAAGGTCTTCATATGACTTTTAAACTACTGACTAAAAATCACCCTGTTGCTTCTCCTTTTTGCGTTTCCACTCGAAACCCTGTCTAAACATGCTGCTATTGGGCCCCAAGACATAAGATCTTGCATCATACGTTGGTTTTTTGGATACCGTAAAAGTGGGTGCATAGATACACGAAAGAGAAGAATAGATATTGGCGAATTTTCCTAGTATCTATTCATCCCTCTTCTGTGTATATTCAACCCTCGAATTCTATTCACACCATTTAACCGTACACAAGCTTAAAAAATGAACATTATCCTAAATAGTAAGAAATGGAACAATTTATTCAATGACGATGACACAAGAATGAAAAGAGAGGTGTTGGCTTTTTTTAGCGGGTGTATCTAAAAACTACCCCCTATTCTTCTCATGTTCCGAACCGGGCCATCATAGCTCTATAATTATGTACCTACATATGTATATGTGAAACCAGTGTTTTATGGGTTTTTTAATATTTTTATTAAAGTAAGATGTAGTTCTTATACGTATAAAGGAAAGTTAGTAGGGCAAAGAAGTTCCAAGTGTGTGAGAGCCATGCTTCGGCACAAATGGGTCGGCTGGACCGGAGTTAAATCTCCATAACCCTAATCCCTAAAAGGTCGGCAAAGCACTCGCAACTCCTCCGTTGCGGGTGTCCATGGGGGGCGCTTGCTTACCACCAGGTAATCCATCTGCCCGTTTGCCGACCTATGAAATAAAAAATAGCGCTTTTAATGTATATTTGTGAAACCAGTGTTCTATGGTTATATTCTATTTTTTTTTATAAACGTAAGATGTAGTTCTTATACATATCATATGTATAAAGGAAAGGGAGTAGGGCAAAGAATATCTACAACAAGTCGTTGGTAAAAGCTAGTATATATACCTACGTGTAAAATAAAACAGACAATAAATATAACAATGGAAGCTGCTGTTTATGACAAAGGTGGTCTCTTCGTACGTGCGGCAGCAGTAATATTGTTACTCTGTCTTTTGTGACATCTGCCAAATTAGATAACAACATATAACTAGACAGTTGCTATACTCCGCAATTCCTTTTTTAGGTTCGAGACAATATTGACTTTGATATTGACCTTTTTTGACGATAAAGAAACATAGTGTTAGTTAGAATTATAGGTAGGTAGTTTCATAATTATATCGTTTTAGGTAGCTTTACGATAAAATTTGAAATGATCATGTGCTCAATTTTCATATCATAATTATCAAATTTTCGAGTATAAGGAACAAAGCAGCTACTGTTATTTATTTTACTCATTGGTTAAAACCAATTACATTTAATACTTTCAAATAAATATCCCGAAGTAACTCTTCGGTAACTTAAAGGTGAACTATCTATTTACGAGATAATTAGGTACTCCACAATACTAAACAAAATAAACGCCTTTTTCAAAGGGTAATACTTAGGGTAATTTTGTAATAACACGCGCCGGTAAACGACGATGGTAAGCAATCGGTGTCGCCCATGGACGCCAGTAATACCAGAGTTGTTGCAAGTGCGTTGCAAGCATTATGGGGATAAGGGGTTTTGGAAACTCAGAAGGGGTCTTCGGTAACCGGTGACCTCATTCACAACGCAGTGATTGTTTCACGCGGGTTTTCTGTGAGGACGTGGTATCACTTATTTCCAATAAAAATGGATTAGTAGCAGTAGTTGCTTACACATGCCTACTTAACGCGAATTTTCACGAATTATGTTACCTTAGATGTGACATAGGGCTCCTCAAGGGCAGTAAAACTGCCGAGTGCTGTGTTATCTTCCTAGTCTTTCTACTAATTAAAGAAATTTTTTTGTATTTCCCCTAAACATTGAAAAGGGCCTTATGTATGACGCCCATTGTGTAGTTGTAGAAGGATTAAAACAAAGAAAGGATCAAGACCACAATAATTTAACAGTCACACTTACGGCGTTTCAATCAAATAGGCAGGTAATAATTTAAACAGTTACTCACAGAAATATAAATGCTAATCAACTGAAATAAGACCTTAACGTTTGTAATTTAGAAATGTAATTCAATTATTAACTACAAAAATCTTTTCTTCCCTAATGAAATAAATAAATTAGCACAGAGTCTTAAGAATGTATTTAATTTTAATACAACGCAAAAGGTGAGAGGTTTTCCTTATTTAACTAATGAGCATCGAGTTTTAAGTCTTAATTTCTCTTTGCCTTCACTGTTTACCTAAATTGGTTTGCTATTTTTAAGTTAAGTTAGACAAAAGGTAATCAAGCCTTCAAAGGAGGTTTCCACCTGAGGAAAATTCATTATTAGAAGGTATGTTAAAGCCACTTTAAGTAGGTTTTTTGTACATAACAATAGGCGTGCTTCAATGTTCTATTTAGGTGTCTGCTTTTCAGTTGTTCTTTGAAAATAAAAGGCGGAAGTTAGCTTGCTACATAATACAACGATTATTAGCTTAAAGTTTTGTTCCATTGTAGACATTATTATAGTTAATGATTACCTAGTTTTGGTGTCTCTTTTTAACGTCTATCTACATAACTTCAGACAAAATTGTACAGCCATAAACAACCTTATGCTGATTGGCGTCGTTTTCTATACTAAGTAATTTGTGCGACTAATTAAAAAAATGTGACAGTGAGATTTGAGACAGGCGCCGCGATTGCTAACTAGCTAGTCTTCATACATATGGGTTAAAAACCAAAATAAAGATTCTGTTTAAAAAATAAAGATGGCAACCGAGTCCTCAACTCAATGTTGTCGTTGCAACGCTGTCAATTTTAAACAAATGACACACGTCAATGACGTCACTCGTGAAATGACAAAGACAGACATATCGCTGTCTCTTACCGAATGCGAAAACCATATTTCTTCTGCTACGTTGCTATCACAAAAACAATTGACATGTCAATGACGTCACGCTCAAAATGACAAGGACAGAAATATATTTATTTTATATCTCTTTTTATTTTATTAATACTTGGAGTTGTAAAGGAAAAAGCTGCATCACTCTCGTTCCTTATTTGATTGGAACAGATTTTAAAAATTCCGTTTCCTGTTCGAAGCCACTTTATTTGTGAGTGTCTTATGCATAAATTATATAACACGACAGTCTAACCAATAGGAGCTGAATATTTAAAGCCTCCTTATTTTTTGGGAGTCGGTTAACAAGAAATATTCAGTGTAGGATTTTCGTCATCTATTTCAGGATCAGACTGAATTAAATCTAAGTTCTTAAAATTTTTCCGGTTATACTAAATGTAAGAATGTCGGCATGTAAATAAACTACCCTAATCTCTAAAAGTTCGCCAACGTATACGTAACTCCTTTGGTGTTGCGAGTGTCCATGGGCGGCGCCGATAGCTTACCATCAGGTTAAATAGATATAAGAATACTTACAGAATGTCAAGCGGCAGGGATTGCGAGCAACTCCTGTAGGTTGCCTCTGGGCGGTGCTTCGTCGGCAGCGTGTGACTCATCTGCGCACCCGACTCCATGCGGCTCCCATAATAAGCTAACACACACCCCCCACAATATTCACGTCATTTCCATCTTACAAGCCATTGCATAAATCACAGGTTTAGCTTTTTATCGAGAATAATGTAACTGGATAGTTAATTCTCATTTTCTTTTCGTATTTACGTGTTTTAGAATCTGTAACAAAATATTTAGTGAATGAAGTTGATTTAAAACGAAAAGTTTAAAGGTTTTAATGCCGTCCATGCCTCAAATATTGCTCATAATGTTTTTGTTTATGTGTTTGTTTGGACGGTGCTGCAGCCTTCTGCTGCGACGAATGGACGATGAAAAGCCCAATGCTTCGCGTATACGAGACTTTGGTTTAATTCTTAATGCAAGAATAGTAGCAATTTTGACTTCCGAAAACCATTTTGCAAATTATAATGCTAATCACTCAATATTTATACGTATAAAGCAAGAGTCGAACTCGCCCATACAAACACACAATCAAAGAAAATACTACTCCATCATTTCATCACTTAACGAAATAAATAGATATTCCATCATTTATCACAATACAAAATTGTACAACAATAGCGTATAACATGTCTAAAATAAACGTATAATAATTTGAAGTAAATGCTTGATAATAGTAGAATCGCTACAATAAATTGCTTGGCAATAAAGCCTAAGTAATGACATACCATGTTACACGACCTTTGGAGCCCTCCTACACCTGTAACAAACAAAGAAACATTGTGAAAATTACATCACTATCACTTTTACTATGTATACATTAAGGTTTAGTTTCGGTTAGCAGATTAAAGCAGGTCTATATTGAGGAGTCAAAAGATTTGGGTTGGCCTCGGTTTAGTACTGAATTGTTTCTCATCAACAAATCTTGAGAATAAGCAGCTGGACCTTTACATGACTTCATCAGCCCATATGTCCCCACTGGTGAACGGCCTCTTCCAACACGAAGAAGGTTTGCGCATTAATCATCAAGCTTGTACCAAAGCGCATTGGTAATTTCAAAAGTATATTTAGAAATTAATCGGAGGTTGTGACACCCTCTTCTCATGCATGAGAGTGCGGGGTCGAAACCTGGCAAGTACCAATGTGATTTTTTCTGCGTTATATGTACTTTCTATAATTATTTTGGCACCAATGAGGAATGGTGAAGAAAATCATCGTGAGGAAACCTTGACTTATAATTTCTTATAATCTTGTATATTAATACAAAAACATATCTCTGAAATGAAACCGTTCGAAACGAAATCTGGCAAAGTGACTTTTTATATCAGTGTCAGACATTAAGATGATGATGGTAAAAAGGTCACATCCCTGCGACGAAATAATTCGCAGCCTCTTTAAACAGCATTAAGAGAAACCACAACAAAAGTTCAGATCTTCATCTGACCACAATAACAGTACACCAGTTTGGTTGCGTGTTACAACTTCATTGCAGTCCC